ACAGCTATTTCAAAAAAGGTTGGTGAAAATTTTGCTGCATTTTGCTCACTGTTATCATTGATGTTTCTGATAATGCCGGCACAGAAGAAATACCAGATAAACATGCAGACAAAGATTAGGAAAATTTCATATCGTTGTGACCTTTAGCAGATTGGATTCACACGGCTCATAGTGTCAGTTTCGGGCTTGGTATGCCACGAGCTGCCTTCACCAGTCTCAGCTTTTTTTAAAATCATGTATAGCCCATTGAGTGTCGCATGACAGAGGTGGTGGCTGGAGGGGGAAGCGCCTCAGTTTACTTGTCTTCAAGTCGTTTATGGTTGAGTCATTGAAGTTAACTTTTTATCGAGGGTTAGATTGAGGCGATACCTTCATGCATTAACCGCTAGAAAATGATAGAATTTCACTCCCAGCCTCTCTGTGCGAGTAAGGCAGGCTAGYATAACGTAGCGAGGTCTCGAAAGGGGCAATGTCCCATTTTCCCGCCAAATCCACAGGAATCCCGCCAGAGTTCTATCATTCCCGAACTAGCCTCTTTTGACGTCATCCTTCATCGTCGACTCAGTAGTATCTCATTCCTTCATATACAGGGCCCGCCCTTAATTTCGCAAATCACAGCACAGCAAATAGACGACATACAAAACAGCAGTACTAGCATGGTCAGCTGCCTTGATAACCCAGTTTCTGATTGTTTTAACAAAAGGGTTTTTGCTGACCACTTTGAAGACTTATCCATTCCCAGACGAGCCGATCTCAGATGGAACGATAAATGTGTCTGATGCGCGTGTCATTTCAGTATTACTAAGCCAGTGCGCAAAATCAAAAGATCTAGAAAAGACAGTGTTATCGGTAAGGTTAAATATAATAGAGATTTTTCTCGCTTTTTTGGAACTACATTTTAAATACGTAGTGCTCGCCAGCTGGTTGAAGGAAACTCTCTCAACTTCAAATAAATAAGTTTTTTTGCTACTTTGTGATGTGTGCTCGTCCGGGTGAGTGCTGAGTGCAGTTATTTTACATCCTTTCTTTACAGTTTCTTAAAACTACACTCACCCGAACGATCACGCTTCACAACAAACTTTAACACCCGCGTTCAAACCATGACATGTAAAAAATGAGTGAATGGCATTTCAGAATTCCATTGCCCAGCAACACCCTACCGTCATTCCGAACAAAGTAGAAGACTTTCGGATGCGCGCTGCTTAGAAAAAAATCGATGCAAATAGTGTTATCACTCATTTACATGACTTTGCGCATCATTGTCATTACCAAATTCGTGAAATTACATATTTTTGTTTTTTTCATCCGCCCGAACTTCTGGCTTTTCCCCAAAAATCGATAAACAGATAAAGTTCAACATACATCAAACCGGAAGTGAATACTTCGTTTGTAATTCATTTAGTTTAAGATCAGGAGATTCTGTTTTTTATAAGATAACAAAAAGCATTACAGCGCAAGTTGTCAGCACCGTCCTCGGAGGCTTTGAAGTTAAAAGGGTTCAAGCGCCCCAGACTTTGACAGTGAAATTTTACGCCCGCAAATAAGCCCTCAGAATGATCCAGTCGTCAATATTGAAAGCAAATTTAGACTTATTAACAACGAATATTTCCGAGACGCACACTAAGAGAATAAAGATTCATTAGCAGAAAAATTGTCTGTCAAATTGTAACACGACAACTTGACGAGGTAAAAACGGGCATTTTCCTCGCCGCTAATCAACACACCGCGAGCAATACTTCCAGATAACTACCATGTTATTACTTCTAGAGCTAATATTCGTGTAACAGACTCGTTTTAGGATTGAATTGCTCAGACTGGATCCCCTGCGGACGGCACAGATGGAAGTCTTGTCTTAAAATTAGGAGCTGTTATTTTTGAATTGTAGCGTGGCCTGGTGGACCACTGTCTGCGGCGTCTTTTATGACCCATGTAATCAACTGATCACTTTTACGATGATTAGGAACAAGGCGCCTTCGATTCGATAGACAAAGATTTCCTCCAAAAACATACAAACCCCGAAAAAAATGATTAAGGACAAAAAAAGTGTAGTGTTGAGAGCGTACTCAGAAGCGAAGCGTACAATTCATTTCTTAGCTAAGTGTGTCAGTATAAATAAGGGAGTGTGAAGCGGCTCCTTTGATAAAAGCCACCGCTCGCGGCAATCGTGAAAAATAAAACAGCTTGGTCACGAAGCCACCACCATGCCATCACATCATGACCCCATCGTTGTATGTAACGGAAAAGAAACAATTTTCGGTAAAGTTGGTTCGTTTCTTGTTGTTTTGTCTAGCAGTTTTCCAAACGGCTTATCCATATCGATGCACTTGAGCAATTTAGCGTTAAAATTACATAAACAAGGTTGCGCGCGAAAAAGCACAGTCGATGCCGACAAATGCTGTGTTGAAATGATTGCGCCTCGATCAGCGATCATATTTCTGTCATTCAAAACATGGCCTACAAATTGACTTCTCCCACGTACGCGTGGTTCAAAAAATGTGTGACTCGTAATTTTCAGCGCGAGAGTTCTCCAAAATAATCAAAAAAATGTCCATCATTTTAGACTTTGGATAAGAGATCCGAAATGACTCGTTCAGTTTTAGCCTATTTTCGTCAATAAAGCTAAGAAAAGACCGACTTGTCAAAAAACAAATGCTATGTAAATATCTCGGGATCATGCATTAAAAAACAACAGAGACGAATTTTGCAAGTTTACTTTACTTATTTCATTAGCCAATGGAACTTGGCCTTGAATTAGGTTAACTGACAGGTGCCAGTGATAGAGCTTGCGGTAGGCGTGGTTATTATTAGTCTGGTCGTCGCTGATTGGCTGTGGATCAAATAGACTTTGAAAACACACAGAAACGCATTCATATGCAGATGAAGTGTATTACAATTCTGTTGATGGTCGCGGATCACGAAGTAAGAAAACTAAGTGTAAGCTTTTGGCCAAAATAACTCGTGTTTTTCAAATGCTACCATTCGTGAAACGAGCTCAGTTAGATTGAATCCACGAGAAGTCCTCTATAACAGATGTGGGTTGAGTGAGTTAGAATTATAAGCGCTAAATCGCCAGCACTATTCGCACTCACGTCTCAGGAATACGATCGCAGTCAGTAACCCTTGACTAAAACTTTGTGGACATCATGTCAAGACGAAGAAGACCTTTGTGTCTTGGTTTGCTAATATTGGCAGCCTCTATTGCACTTAGTTCAGCTCAATCAAGAAGAACTTGGCAATGTGAGAAAGTATCAATTGAATTATGTCGAAACATGGGCTACAATGTTACACGGATGCCTAATCTGATCGGACACGAGTCTCAAAGAGAAGCAGAAGCCCAACTCAAACAGTTTCTTCCTCTTATTCAGTATGGCTGTGCTAAACAACATTTGACTTTTTTTCTTTGCTCGGCGTACGCTCCTCTTTGTACGGAAAAACTCGACGTGGTGATAACGTCTTGTCGACCGCTTTGTGAGTATGTACGAACTTCGTGCCTCCCTGTGTTAACTGAATTTGGGATTCCATGGCCTCATCCTCTCAACTGCTCGCGCTTCTTGCCGACAAACAACGAGAAACATATGTGTATGCCAGGACCAAACTTTACAGAGCAGCCAACGTCTGTAGACCCTGGTCGAGTGCTGCCCAACGATACTGCAAATTCACCGGATTTAAAGAAGAAAGGTTCGGAACAATGTCGAAGGTTTAAAAACAGCGAGAATTATTATTATGTTCGTAGCACTGAATCGTGTGCTGTGCGATGTAATGAAGAAGGGATTTTTAAGAACTCGGATAAAAAGACTATTGAGTTATGGATGACAATCTGGTCTATATTGTGCTTCCTTTCGACTTTAGTGACGCTTTCTACCTTTATTATCGATACAACCAGGTTTAAGTACCCCGAACGAGCCATCATCTGGCTCGCTTTGTGCTACAACTTCTACTCCATATCATTCATCATTCGTCTGGCTGCTGGAAGAAGCGCTGTATCATGCGATGTCGATCCGGCGACCAATGTCAGATTTCATATCCAAGATGGGCTCAGAAACACAGGATGTGCTGTAATCTTCTTAATTCAATACTTTTTCAACATGGCAGCTACGATTTGGTGGGTCGTTCTGGCTCTTATTTGGTTTCTCGCGGCGGGCATGAAGTGGGGCTACGAAGCCATTGGATCATATGCCAACCTTTTTCACGTTATCGCTTGGATTCTTCCGTGTATCAAGACCATTTTTATCCTCATAACGAGGAAAGTCGACGGGGATGAACTTACTGGTGTTTGTTATGTAGGTAACCAAGACTTGATAGCACTGGCCGCGTTTGTCCTTGGACCGCAGTTTACATATCTTATTATAGGGACTCTGTTTTTGATCGCAGGCTTTGTTGCCCTATTTCGGGTCCGTTCTACGGTACAAAGAACAAATCAGGCCAAGACAGATAAACTAGAGAGACTTATCGTACGAATAGGAATATTTTCAGTCCTTTCGACGATCCCGGCCACAGCAGTAATCGCTTGTTATTTTTACGAATATGCAAACAAAGAATACTGGTATTATGGGAAGAGAGACGAGGCTGTTGCTGAGCCTAATTTCAGTATTTTTGTTATCAAACTCTTCATGTCTTTGTTTGTTGGCATTATCTCAGGCATGTGGGTATGGACACCAAAGACTGTCAAATCGTGGAAGAAATTTTATTACAAAATGAGGGGGAAAAGGCCTCCGAGACGAGCTCCAAAACCCGCTAATCCAAACGAGACAACGGTATAATACGTCTTAAAAGAGTAAGGTCATTCTAAGAGCTTTAATTCACTAAGCCGAGCTAAACTAAACAACGTATCGTTTTAGATCCTAAAAACACTACTTTGACTAGAGATATTGCGAAGTACTGGAGAACACAGATTTACGAGACGAGAGTTTGACATGTTTACGTTCAAGAAAGAAAAGAATAGAGCGAGAGACGCGTCCACGAAGAAGTGTATAGACACAAGACAGCTGCCATCGGCTAATTATCGCTTGATTTAGGATTAACTACGAGAAAAAAAGCGACTGACTCCAAATTGTTCGTATTGAACCTACAGTATGTTTAAGGTCGTTGAAATTAGTGCTGAAATCACAGCTTAGTTTACAAGTCCAAAACCGGACATAATTGTAGTTTAAAATTCCTATAAATAAACAGTTATAAATTTTACGAAAGAATTTGTGGTCTTGACCCTTCTGGCGGCTCGTGTCTTTTAGCTCTCGTATTGTTAGTTTACCAAATGGAATTAATTTGGTTCAATCAGAGAAAAGCCGTGCCTATTGTGTTGGTCGCGGTCGTATTACTCTAGAAAAGCATTGCCTGTCCTTTCCTAAATCTCGTTATCAGGGTAAGCTTGTAGCTAGCTTTCTCTGTGTTTGACAACTCGAGTGACAAGTGGTTTTATTAGAAGCTCTAGATACCCTAGTGTTGACGTTCGTAGCAAGCCTTGGTATTTATTGCCCCTTGGGCAGATATTGTTATTCTGTCGTAAGATTTCAAGACCTGATAGAAGGCTTTCATCTATCTTTCATCAAAATCGAAAATTAAACAAATTATATTTGAGAAAATATTTTATTGAAAATTGGTTTTGTCCTAGCTGTCTGCCATGCTGCCCKTTCGAGACATAGATTTATGGTAGGTTTTTGGTCATTGCTGTCGAAAAATGGTTAATCTAAAAGGTTGGTTTTAATTATTCTGCTAGCCTTAGGGTAACGTCAAGAACCTTGTCTGAAGTTCAAAGGTACCGCTTTATACTAGCGCAGAGTGGCTCGTGTTCATTACGCCTYGTAGTTTCAACAAGACATTTAGGCAAGCGGCTTGAATGCAAAAATTTGATGAAAGGAAGTTGAGTTTTGGAATTGGGTTTTTATGGCGAACAAATTTTTATTTTCGTATGAAGAGCAACCTCACCTTAGACAGGTAGAAGCATCTCTGGCGACATGAGCTATGTAAGAACAGATTCGAGATGTATTCTGTGACGAGTTTGCCTAATGGTCGTGGGTCGTGGGTACAAAGTCGTGGGTCGTGGGTAAAAAGTCGTGGGTCGTGGGTAAAAAGTCGTGGGTCGTGGGTAAAAAGTCGTGGGTCGTGGGTAAAAAGTCGTGGGTCGTGGGTACGAAGTCGTGGGTACGAAGTCGTGGGTTCCAATTTTTTTCCAAAATTTCCAAATTCATCATTTCTTCACTATACTTCTAAAACGAGATTGTGTGGCTTTCTTCCTGTAAATTCGGCGTAATTGTGGGTTGTGCAAGGTAGTCTGTGTCTGTTTTGCGYGACAGTGTTATAAAAATACACCAAAATTGGTGGCCTGGAAAACCTTTTAGCACTTTCTTACATTTCATTTATATTGGCCTTGCTGTTGAAACTTAAATTTGGCGAAAAAAAAGAAAAAAAGAAAAAGAAAAAAAGAAAAAGGAAAAGAAAACAACAACAACGACAACTAGTCTTCTACTTTGTCTCGCTTCAACGAGGAGTCTTCAATGGAGTCTTGGACTTTATCAAGATGTTACCTAGAAACTGGAGCGACAAGCCGCTGCAAACGTGTGAAGTTGATGGACAGCAAATTCGCGTTTTCGGCATCGCGTTTCTCCTCSTTCTATGTGTTTTGTCGTTGCGAAAAAGCTTGTTTCATTATTGCTTAGCAGTTCTCCGTGTTAGTATGGAAATTCTGAGTAAACGACTTGAAAGTGCGGGGTTTACCATTACCCACGACTCCAAGATTGATAGGGACTGCTTTTATGCAGCGGCAGCGTACCAGTTGGGCTTAAGTACCAAGAAGGTCAAAGCAGTTATATTCAGTTTCTTGGAAAAGAACCGATTTGATGTAAGTATAATCAAAACGATGTTTTATTCTTGACTTTGCGGGTCCATACCTAAATTATAAGGAAAGTAGAAATTCGAACAGAGTCAGCTCTTTAAAAAATCATGTCCRCCAACTACATGGAATGATGAATAATCGCCGGTTTAGGAGATTCCAACACGTGTCTCCATCTTCATCTTCATCACCAGTCTCAAACCTATTATTCAGTTTTATTGGAACCAAATTTTAATTTTATGTCTTAATGTATACGARAGATCTAGTATCTTTTCGTATTGCCGGTTTTCACATGACGTCATCAAAACATGAAAATCTAAACTATAGATCGTATAAAGACATTTCTAAAGTATGTTTTAGAAGTCAGTTTTATAAGTCACAAGAAAAAATCTCGAGTCATATTTCGATGTTTGGTTCCCGAGTTATGAAGGTTGAGTTTGTTTCACACAATACCGTCACGTCTATCTAAATAGCGATGAAAATATTAAAACAATTTACTTTAGTTGAAAGATTTTTCGTTAGACACGTTCAAAATATCTATTTAAAGTATATTTAAGTGAAATGTAGTCAAACATATTAACTATTCCATTACTTTAAGCCTTTGGAGTTTCGTGCGCCATGATGGTGTACCAACTTGGAACACCAAGATGGCCGCCCCATACATTTTAACCAAAAATTGCGTCATGTTTACTCGCCTATAGTTCCGTAACGAAATGCTTTACAGCCTTAAAATTTGGCCAGTATATGTAGTTTGGACCGCTTTACAAGAATATAAAACTTCTATTTCATTATAGTGCGAATTTACGCTTTTGAAATTTATGATGACGTAGGTGAAAACCAAGAATTGGGTGCGACTAGAAAGAGCCTAGCTATGCCATAGATTGAAATATTTTACTCTGCATGGCTCACGCTGTGTGGACACTACAAAAACTTTTATGAATTTCGAATCATTCTCAACACACTTCTAATTCGAGCGCTTTCCACATAGTCTATTTTTGCTTCTATTTTTGCTTCTATTTTTGCTTCTATTTGTTGGTGTAAAGTTTATGGAAATTATCTGATAAGATGCTCCTTTCGTTTTCTCAAAATATTTGCTTTTAACRACTACCAATGACAAACAAGAAATATATGACCCAAGAGGTCAAGATTTGCGTGACTAGCTAATTTTGAGGACAGCAAAGTTTGGGGATTTTATAGACGTTTCCGGTTAATCCTGGTTCAGAGCTTGGTTTGCCTTTTCAAAAAAAAGGAAAAACCCTGAGTTATAACGCGGGGAGCTTGCACAGTTTTGAGAACCACCTTACTGAGAACCACTTTGCATAGTAGAGTCGATATTTAAACCTATAATATAAACAGTACTTAGAATTTCAACAACAACGTTAATTTATAGCAATTATGTTAATTGACTATAAATCAAACATCACATCTCTCCCCAGGATCATGGGTCTGATCGGCTGGACTTTATTTGTGAAATTTGGAAAAAAATTGGAACCCACGACTTCGTACCCACGACTTCGTACCCACGACCCACGACTTTTTACCCACGACCCACGACTTTTTACCCACGANGAAAGAGCCTAGCTATGCCATAGATTGAAATATTTTACTCTGCATGGCTCACGCTGTGTGGACACTACAAAAACTTTTATGAATTTCGAATCATTCTCAACACACTTCTAATTCGAGCGCTTTCCACATAGTCTATTTTTGCTTCTATTTTTGCTTCTATTTTTGCTTCTATTTGTTGGTGTAAAGTTTATGGAAATTATCTGATAAGATGCTCCTTTCGTTTTCTCAAAATATTTGCTTTTAACRACTACCAATGACAAACAAGAAATATATGACCCAAGAGGTCAAGATTTGCGTGACTAGCTAATTTTGAGGACAGCAAAGTTTGGGGATTTTATAGACGTTTCCGGTTAATCCTGGTTCAGAGCTTGGTTTGCCTTTTCAAAAAAAAGGAAAAACCCTGAGTTATAACGCGGGGAGCTTGCACAGTTTTGAGAACCACCTTACTGAGAACCACTTTGCATAGTAGAGTCGATATTTAAACCTATAATATAAACAGTACTTAGAATTTCAACAACAACGTTAATTTATAGCAATTATGTTAATTGACTATAAATCAAACATCACATCTCTCCCCAGGATCATGGGTCTGATCGGCTGGACTTTATTTGTGAAATTTGGAAAAAAATTGGAACCCACGACTTCGTACCCACGACTTCGTACCCACGACCCACGACTTTTTACCCACGACCCACGACTTTTTACCCACGACCCACGACTTTTTACCCACGACCCACGACTTTTTACCCACGACCCACGACTTTGTACCCACGACCCACGACCTTTAGACAAACTCTTCTATGGCATACAAGGAACTAGATTTACACCTTTAAAAACCCCTTTCCCCCTTCACTAAGAATTAGCCACGCCCTCAATCTAAAAGTGGACCCTCATTTTCCACAAGATTATTTATTACTGTTCACTGATTGCCTTGAGCATGGAGAGAATGACTCGCATATGGCAAGGAAAAAACACATGATAACAGTGAAATTAATTTATGAAGTAGAGAGGTGCTTATGGTGCTCTTCGAAAATTAGACMGCTTTGGAGAAAATGGAGATCGATTTGAGAAGTAATTCGTCAAAGTTTGTCAAATAAGTCTAGAGAATAGCTGGTAATGATATGTGTAGAGACGAATTCTAAATGTGCTCTATAATAGCTTTACTTGCAGTCCAATGGCTTTCCTTAGTGAAACTAGGGGTTCCTTAATTTTTAAGTTAGCTTGATCTACAATCATTTCACAACTGTTGACTGATGAATGGCTTTTATAGAGAAATGGCTTCCCTGATTTGAAATTAAAAGAGCTTTCAAAGGCGTCCCTTCAGGCGTCCTTTCAGCATCAAAATGGCTTTCCGTCTGAAAATGTCCACGCAAATGGCATTCAAATGGTTTTCTTAGTAGTTCAAGTGATAGGTGAATGTTTAGACCTGTTTTAGAAGTGTTTTCAGTCTGCAGCGAAATGGCTTCCAATCAGCATTTAAGTGGTTTTCCTGAAAGTGAACTATGGAAAGGGTGTTAAAATGATAGATGAAAGTTTTGAAATGCTTTAGAAGGGTTTTCAGTCTGCAGTGCAATGGCTTCAGCATTGAAGTGGTTTCCGCCTGAAAGTTACTAGAACTTTCTTATTCAGTTCGAAACGTAGTTTTTTCTCCTATTGATGTCATAAATAGCTCCACAGGAAACATTTCATAAATGTCCTTAACGAATTAAGCTTTCCAATTTTCTCTTTGAAAGACAAAAGTCAAAAAACTAAACAAATTTCTAATATCAGTTTTCTCCAATTCAAGCTACA